AGGGGCAGGGTGAGTGCAGGGGTTTGGGTAGGGCGGGGGCAGGGGCACGGTGGGGGTTTGTGTGGGGCAGGGGCAGGGCGGGGGTTTGGGTAGAGTGGGGGCGGGGGCAGGGTGAGTGCAGGGGTTTGGGAAGGGTGGAGGCAGGGGCATGGGCAGGGCAGGGGCAGGGGTTTCAGTAGGGTGGGCGTGGGGGGTTGGGCAGGGGGGGTAGGGGGGTTGGGCAGGGCTTGCTGCACACCTGCTAAGGAGCAGCGTGGGGTCCAAGGACCGGGGGAGCCCTGCCGGTAACGCTGGCTGGGAAGTGAATCTTGGCACGGGCCCAAGCCTGGCCACGGACCCTGCCCGAGCCGGTGACTTGGTTCCTCATGGCTGATTGATTATCTGGAGACAAGAGGATAAGACACACATCCCTCCCCTCTTCCCTCATCCTGCAAATCCAGCTCCCCCTCCTCCCTCTTCGTTAGCAAGTATGCAAAGTGAGGCCAACAGCCAGCCTGGGCCCAGGTTTGGGGGCGCCTGGCCTTGAACCCCCAGCTCCGCAGCAGCCGTGCCTCGCAGCTCCCTCCCCATCGGGGAGGCTGGGCGGGTGCTGAGTCCGCAATCTCTAATCGCTGCCCTCCGGCAGGGCCTCGTGCCCGTGGGCTGCAAACTTCCTCCTGGGCTGTGCCCACGCATGCTAATGGGGTTAGGGAGCAAGTCTGAGTCCAAAGTCCCCTAGAGAATGGGGCTATTGCCCGGGCCCGCGGTACAGCCTGTCACAGACACTGCACGGCTTCCCCGCTGCTCCCGTCTTTGCCATGCGGCTCCCTGTGCCCGTCCTGCTCTGCCTCGGGGCCTGGCTGTCCTATGCCAGTGCCGCCATCCCAGGTAAACCAGCCTCCCTTCCCCAAGGGGCGATTTCCCCCCCCCCCCACACGCTTGGCGTGGGTGTCTCTGGCCCGAGGCCAAGCACCGGGAGTGGCTGCGAGACGGCGCGAGGGACCCGGCTGACGCGTGGCAGAGCTCACCCAGGCTGTTCAGGGGAGGCATCGGCTGGTCCGGGATCCCGGGCTGGGTGCTGAGCAGGGGCCACTAACTCATCGCTCCAAGGCCTGTAGTGACTCAAACCCCCGCCTGACCCAGGCCCCTCCGGGGGGCTCTGGTGGCTGGCAGTGGGGGAAGACGCGGGCGAGGGCGTTGGCGGCTGGCTGAGGGCGTCTCGGCGGTGTTTGCCATCATGCAGCTCAGAAAGGGTTAACTGGGCTGTCAGGGGTGGGGGGGAGACGGATTCATCTCCTGGGGACGCCCCCCTCCATCCCCCTCGGCCGGGCACCGGGTTTCTGCCCTCAGGGGAGCAGCCGTGTCACGGATCGACTGGGTCTCACCAGTTCCGTGGGAGCGTCCCGTGCAGTGGGCTGGAGCCCAAGGACCCCCCAGTTCCACAGGGGCAGGACTGGGGGCCCCACGACTCCAGACCTGGCCCCAGTGCTTCATGGCTCCCTGCAGGGAACCCAGCCCAGCCAGACCCTGTCCGACCTGTGCCCATCGGAGCGCCGAGCTCCCAGGCAGTGTCTGCGGCGACACCGGCAGCCTTGGAAAACCGAGGTAGCCGTGTACTGGTTCCCGGGCACCCAGTCGCTGAGAGCCCTCCGGCTGGCACAGAGAGGCGAGGGTTAGAGGGCATCCAGGCAGGGCAGCGCCACGTTGCAGTCGAGGCCATCTGGACGCTCGCTGGCGCCAGCCCGGAGCCCTTCGTGCCGGGGTGGAGTTGGGAGTGCAAAGGCCAGCTCGCAACCCTGCCACCTTCCCCTTCCCTCTGCTTCCCGGCCCGGCGCTGGGGGAAGCGCCTGCCTCTGGGGTGGGGATTGCTAGGTGTGAACGTCCCGGCCAGTGGGCCTCCCCTCGGCTTTGTCTCCATTGAGCTGGGTTGGTTTCAGCCAGTTTTAATGCCCCCTTCAAGCACCGCAGCCAGCACCATGGCGCTCTCACACACAAACACACACACCGGCCCTGGAACAGCTGTTTAACCCTTCACTAGCTGCACACAGCACTGCAAACACAGAGGGAAACTGAGGCGCACACAGGCATAAACATACAACCAACCTCCCACTTCGCCCCGGTGTGAGGGGTCCTGCTGGCTCCGGGACCGAGCAGTGCAGCCAGGGCTGCTCATGCACCAGCTGGTGGCGTCTAACGGCGCCACCTCAGATTTATTGTAGGGCTCCTGCTCCCAGCTGCTGCCGTCCCCACAAGCTCCCCAGACAGCTCAGACAGCCCCCCCCTTCCAGCTGCTGGCTCCTTCCCCCACCTGCCCCCCAGCTCCCTCCCCGGCCATGCACCCCAAACAGACCTCCCGGTTCCTGGACACCCTCCTCCCAGCTCCTTAGCTGGGCACCCTGAACAAACTCCCAGCCCCTGGGAACGAGGCTAGGCTCTAAGGGCTGAGAGGGAGGCGTCCCCCCCATCCCCCCCCCGCACATCCCCTGGACCACTTGCCAAGGGCTGGACTGAACTAAGCCCACGTTGGCCTGGTCCCATTCCCACCGCCCGGCATTCGGTTTCGTGCCAAATTGGGGGCGAAAAGTTAAACTCCCAGCAAGGAAATTCTGCAAAACCTGGCTCCAAGGCCAGCTTCGTTTGGAGCCAGATCGACACTGAATGGCATTGTCACGTCGTGGCGCATTGCCTTCTGGGAGCTGAAGGTGTGGTGCTTGAGGCCCCAATTCACTCTACAGGCCAGGTGCCCTGGGCAGACTACACCCCCCATGATGCACCATGCAGCTCAATCAGCGGGACTCTGCATTGCATGGTGGGAGATGTAGTCCTCCCGGGACCCCAGCCCAGGGGAGCGAATGGGACGCTGGGAAATGCAATTAGCGTTTATTGAACTGCTTGGAAATTAACACAGAGCATCTCGCCTGGGCCGAACCCACCCGGCACCAACACTCAATGGGAAACAATCGGAAACGTCGGGGAAAATCCAGATTTTCCTGTGCAAAATGTCAATTGCACAAAAATTGCCCTTTCTGTCAGCAAATCATCCCAGTGTCCCACCCAGCCAGAGGGCAGGGGCCTCCCCGGGGCACCATGGGTCCCGGGTACCACGACGGGTCATGGCTGGGCATCCCCCAGCACTGTGAGCGCTGCTGAGTTGGGGTGGCAGGCAACGTCACGCTCAGGAGCTGTCATGGCCAGTTCGGCACCTAAGGGCTCAGCATCCTCGTCTGGCTGTGAGCCCGGCATGCCCATGGCAGCCCGAGCCCGGCAGGAGAGGTGCCAGCCAGGCCCTGGCTCTGGTAGGAGGTGCCACGCCTGGCTCCCGCACTGGTTTGCAGCTGTTGTGTGGCCGTGCCCGGCTTGGCATGTGCCCTGGTGCAAGGGCCCCATTGTGGGCTGGGCCGTTCCCAACACCCACGAGTGGTGGGTAAAGCTGGCTGCTGTCAGGGTTTACCCCCCTCCCCTGACTCTGTCCCCCCTCCCCGTGTCTCCCCAAAGCGGAGGAGGAGAGCCCCGCGTTCTGGAACCAGCAGGCAGCGGAGGCCATCAAAGCGACCCTCAAACTCCAGCCCATGAATTCTCAGGCCAAGAACCTGATCCTCTTCCTCGGGGACGGTGAGTCAAAGGAACATCCACCCCCCACCCCACCGCCTGCCGGCATCCTCACCAGCTGCTCTGCCTGCTCTGGGCTCTTCCCCATCCTTGCTGGGTTGTGGGAACCCAGTTGCCCCTCACCCCGCCCCGGGGCGCTGGCTCACAGGTGGAAGCAGCCCCCCCAGCCGGACTCCCCTAGCGTGTGGGGTGACGGGCGTGGGTCACGGTTCGGTGCTCTGAGGCGGCACTGATGGCTTGCTGGGGGGACGGGGAAGGAGGCAGTGTCCTGTGACTGCAGGGGGCGGGGTGGGGGCACATGGGTGGCGCTGAGACCGTCCCGGGGGGACTGGGAGGCTACACATGGGGGGGGAAGGGAGGCCCGTGGTGGTGCCTGGCTCTGATGGGCTCGGTCTCTCTCCCCGCCCAGGAATGGGGGTCCCGACCATCACCGCCACACGGATCCTCAAGGGGCAGCTGCAGGGGAAGCTGGGCCCCGAGACGCCGCTCGCCATGGATGCCTTCCCCTATGTGGCGCTCTCCAAGGTGCCGTCTTCACCCTCGGGTGCTGCCTGTCACCCCGGAGCTGCTGCCACTACCCCGCCTGGTGCCGCCAGGGCCTCGGGCAGGGAGTGATGCCCGGCTCTGGCTTGGGCGCCACGGGCAGCTCCTGCTGGGAGAGACCCCAGGGCCCCTGCTGCTCAGTGGGACTGGGCGGGGTGCAGTCCCCCAGCCCGGGGCCCCTTCCCCCGCTCACTGGCGAAAGGCTGGGGCAGACCCTGGGGTGTGGGGAGGGGGCCGGCTGTGGAGAGGTTGGGAGGGGATTCCCAAATCCACTCCCAGCCGGAGGGATGGAGGCTGATTTTCTGGGCCCTGCATGGGGCAATTGTCTCCCTGAAAGGCTGGGGCAGGGAAGGGACAGGCTGCATTGGCAAGAGGACCCCCCCACAGCCGGGAGGGCTGAGACCCCATAGCCAGGTGGGCTGGGAGCACTTTCCCATACCACATGGCCCGTGGGCCCCCTGAGTGCCCGGGAAGTACTGAGCCCAGGTCTGGGGGTGGTGGTCCCATCCCCTGGAGCCCCTCATCTGATGCTCTCCCGTGAACTTTGCAGACCTACAACGTGGACCGGCAGGTGCCGGACAGCGCGGGCACAGCCACGGCCTACCTTTGCGGGGTGAAGGCCAACTACCAGACCATCGGGGTGAGCGCCGCGGCCAAGCATTCCCAGTGCAACACCACGCTGGGCAACGAGGTCGTGTCCGTGCTGCAGAGAGCCCAGCGAGCAGGTAAGGGGACGGGCGCGGTGGGCAGGGAGCCAGCGGGCTCCAGCAGGTGGGGGATGCGGGGGTGCAGCGCTGGCACTGCTCAGAGGCTGCCGCCAGGCCTGTGGGCACGGCACAAACGGCAGGAGGGTTTCCCAGCTCAGTGCCAGCCAGGGACCCCCCAGTTGTGGCAGCAGGGAGGGTCTGGGTTCGAGTCCTGGCTCCGGTGCCAGGCAATGGGTTAGCCCACCTGCGCCGAGGCTGGCAGATGGGCTGGGTTCTCCAGTGTCCGGCTCCCGGGTGTAGCCGCGTCTGCAGGGACGGTACAGGGGGCGGGCGGTTAGCGCTCAGTGTCCGGCCGTTCTCTGGCAGGGAAGTCGGTGGGGATCGTGACCACGACGCGGGTGCAGCACGCCTCCCCCGCGGGGAACTACGCCCACGTGGTGAACAGGGACTGGTACGCCGACGCCAGCATGCCGACTGCTGCCCTGCAGGAGAACTGCAAGGACATCGCCTGGCAGCTTGTCCACAACGTCAACTTCACCGTGAGTGGCTGCACCCCATGGGCATCGCTGGGCAACCGCCGCCCCCCACAGCCGCCCCCCGCCCCGAATGCCCCCCTCCCACTCAGCAATGCAGCGTGTGCCCGCCCGGGCCTGGTTCCTGAGGGGAGATGTGGCCGGCTGGTTCCCCA